TTTTTAAAAAGAAAAAAACCAAAATTAATTAATTAACGCAGGACCAAAGGGAAAATATACTAGAGAAAGACTGGCAGGGGCTCAATGCACTAACACATTAAAAAAACATTAAAGGCCTAACTGATGTGCATTTATTAAAAGAATAATTAAAGAAGGGCTACTGTTTTCTTTCATAGTGGTCCACCCTCACGCTGTAGGGTATACTTCTTTACCTACTTTTACTTGGTCCAAATGTGCTGTACAGAGCCTGTTTCTTTTCATACCTATTTTTTGTTTCGCTTTTTTTGGTTTTTGGTTTTATCTTTTTAATCTCTCTACCTCCTGTAGGCCTTGCCTTTTTTACAGGGGTTTTTTGTTTGTTTTGTTTTTGTTTTTTTGCAGTGCTGGAAAGTGAACCCAGAGCCTTGGAAATGCATCCCTATCCCTAATACAGTCAGTTCTTTAAATGCTTCATAATATTAGGGAAATTACTTAACCACCTATCAATAGAATGAATACATACTACATAAGTTGTTAAGTAAGTGCTGTGTAGATATTAGCTTAATTATTTCCCAAGTAAATTCCCTGGCAGATTTCTTGAATTCATGTGCTTTGGACTTAGGAGCAGCCTATACACTGATAAATCCCAGTTCTCTATCTTCATTTCAGACTTGCATATTCAGCTAGTCCTAATACTTTGGCTGGCCTAGGGCACATACTATTCAATTTATCTACTCCTCTTTCTCATTCACTTAATAATTAGCATAACTGGCATGCCTGTAGATTTTGTGAGTCAGAAAAACAAGAGCAAGCAATGTTAGAAATCAAGTTAGAAGACTCAAGAACAGGTACAGTACCCTAGGGTTAATACCATGGAAAATCCAGTGAAATAACAAAAACTTTTTCAAGAAAAAAAATGGAGGGTGGAACACAGTCTAGACATTTCTGGGGGGAATATTAATATGTTATTTGTTTAACTACATGTACAATTAGTTTCAGGAAGGAAAACTACATTGGAGTGGGTTGCAAAATAAGTCCAGGAAATGAAAGCAGTGATCACAAGACTAGTCTCTCAAGAGGACCAGCAGAGAAGGAACCAAGCACCAGTTTACTAACCCAGTAACACAGGGCTAGGTACTATGGTAGATGCACTACCTTATTTAAGATTTCCATTCTCCCCCACTCCCTCCTTACTGGGGATTGAACCCAGGGGCTTTGCACTGAGCTACATCCCTAGCCCTTTCATAAATTATTTTGAGACAGGGTCTACCTTGTTGCTAAATTGCTCAAACTTTCAATCCAGCCTCAGTACTCTAGAGTGACGGGATGAAGCTTGCACCACCAAGCCCAACTCCATTCCATTTTTAAAGATGGTGATAGCCTGTAATTCCAGCACTCAGGAGACTGAGACAAGGATAACTGCAAGTTCGAGGCCAGCCTGGGCTATACAGAGAATTCAAGGCCAGCATGAACTACACAGCAAGACCTTGTCTCATAAAACAAAACAAAACCAAGAAACGTGTTCAAAGTCACACAAAAAGTGAGTGGCAGTAGAAATATTTACCCCCAGGTAACAAAGTTGATCACCTAGATATGTTAAAGTAAAACAGAATGACTGAACAGAATTTATGAAACTCATCAGTGCACTGAAGATAATATTCTAAGTATCTAACTCATCTTCAGAAAACAAAAATAATTATTTGAGAAACAAGTGAATAATGTTGGAAAGAAGTGTCAACTTTCATCAGCCAGCAATGTTATTGATGAAGCTTCCAAAAGATCCTACAAATCTGTATCACAAATAAAAATTACAAGCTTACTCCAAATAAAGAACTTTGCTATATCACCCTAAGGTTTAGAGAGGTAACAATTCTCTTAACAAAAGAGAAACAATTGTGGATAGAATTTTTACAATCCAAGACATAAAAATGTCTCCCTCTTTTAAAGATTTGTCCACATACTACCCTATCACTTTTTTACATATGACAGAAGTGGGGTCATTATATTAATAAGCAAAACTGAAGAATATGTACAAATTTAATTTATATCTATATAGCTAGTATAATCATTTATCCTTGTGAATATCCCAAAAAGACGTCTTACAAATGGTGCCTGACTGGCCTCTGTTAAAAACTCGATTTCTTTCCCATAGAAAATGAGAACTCTTCTCTAGTCAGTATTTTTCTTCAAAAGTTCCTTCCTCTGACCTCCAACTCATTCCTTCTTTCACTGTGCCAGGTGCTGAGCCAGATCCTGAGAAGACATAAAGCTAAACCTAGCCTTCATGAAATTTACTAGTCGAGAAATAGTAAGGAATCTAACTCATTACAATTGATGATTAACTGCTGGTAAGGACACTACTGTATAGTGAGTGTATCAGGAATGCTTCAAGGGACGAGTTTTCAGAGGAAGTGATAACTAAGGCTAGTATGTGAGGAATGTTTAGGAATTGGGGAAAGGGAAGCAACATTACAAATTTAGGAAACTCTAAAAGGCCAGAAACTTAAGACAAAAAGGGAGGCTTTCCAGGAACAAAAAATAAAACCAAGTGTGGCTTCAGTGAGAAGGAAAGAGGCTCAAATGAGCTGGGAGAGTGAGCACACTCAGTATTTTGGTCTTTAAGAGAATTTGAAACCAGCTCAAACCCGAAATGCGATAAGATAAAAGACAGGAGCATTTCCCCCCTTACTATCCCTTGCATCAGAGCGCCTTCCAGAACCCATTCATGCCTCCACATCACACAGACTTTCTTAACAAGTCGTTCAGGATACTGCCCAACTTAATGCAAGCAAGGGAGAAAACCTCAATCTGAATTTTAATTTAAGGGTGGAAAAACAAGTACTCTGGAGGGGAAAAATAATGCATATATCAAATGGCAGCCACTTAAAGTGACCAGACTTTAACCTATACACAAATGCAGAGAATGAAGCTTATAGTTTTCTCACACACACATGATTACCAAATATACTTATCAGTTAAACTCCATGGCCATTAACATTTAAGGTCAAAGATAGAAACTTGACACCTACATTTTAACATTTAAAAGACAAAACGTGAGCTTGATTAAAGGTTCTGGTGCTCACAGCCCCACACAGATTTTGATGTCTTCCGGTAGTGCCATCCTTTCTCGCACACATCTTTTCCGCCTAAAACAGCAAGCAGCTGATTTCCCGAGTGCCCTTCTGGTTCCGCTTAAACTTTCTTTACCACTCACTGTCCTGAGAGATGCCACAGAATCTGAGGGACACCAGAGCAAGAGTCCAAGGTTTCAAAGGCTGCCAGAAAACCGGATGCCTGGCGGTAACTTTCCCGCCCTCCCCTCCCGAAGTCCCGGGGACGTGCGGAGACAACCCTCCCCCGGTGGCGGGGGACAGCCGGGGACAAGGCCAGGCCCGTGGGCCGGCGTGGCGGCGGCCACCCCTACCCCTACCCCTTCCTCTGGGGCTGAGGCGGGTGGAACCCAGTCGGGAAACAAGCAGACGGGAGCACGGGCGTTACCTGAGGCCCGAGCCCGCCGGGCTGCGGGGGCCTCCGCGGAGAGAGGTGAGTCGGAAACCCGTCACAGCGTGAGCAGCAGACAGGTCGGCCTCGGGAAGTTGTCCCGTTGCCAGGGCCCGCAAGGCCGCCGGCCGCAGAGAAAGATAAAGCGCCCCGCTCGCCAACCCACCCCGCCCGCTCGGCTGCGTCACGCGCTCTGCCCTGGGGCTCGGGATTCCATTGGTGGTCCCGGCGGGCGCCAGGCTCCACCCACCGCCCCGCCCCTTCCCGGGCGCGCGGGTCCTGGCTTTACAGCCTCCAACGCCCTGCGGTCAGAGCTTCGCACGAGCCCCTCGCCACGGCGGCCACCGCTGCTTGCGGTCCCTTTGCACCCGCACGTGCTGTAGGAACGGGACCAAGATAACTTCCTACAGTCCGAAACGGCACCCTGCCTGATAGCGTGGGGCAGGGGAGTCGGGCGCTGCTTCTGTTGACTCGGAGAAGCACCTTCTGGAACTGTGGATCATTGCGGTTGAAACTAACCATCAAGGAACAAAATAGTAGCATAGTACTAGCCAGTACCTTTGTTAGGAGTCCAGTTATGCTCTAAATCATACTTGACTGTCCTTCAGCAACATGCGAACTAAATAAAGAGACAAGGCACGTAAAAAAAAAAAATGGGACAATCCAGTAATTTTAAAGGGTCCTTGAGAGTTCATAATTTTAAAAAATGATGCAGAGACATTTAGGGCACAAATTAGATAACAATTGCTTCGATTTTACGAAGGCAAAGGTGTAGGAGAATTTAGGGTAAAGGTAGGTGAAAGAATGCTGGGAGGAGCTAAGACTGAAGAAGCTCACACTAGTATCAGCTAACCTGGCCGGCCGGCTGCTCACTTTTGGAATGGCCACTCCTGTCCAGGTCAGGACGCCCCCAACGAATGGCTTAGGTTTCCCGGAACTGACTGTTCTCTTCAGACCTGTTAGCAAAGTGGGCTTGTTAAAACTCCCTCTGGCCACCCAGAGCAGGCAGCACTTTGCACCCAAAGCAGGACTGGCCTCAGCCTTGGAGGTCACCACTGGAGGTCATTGGCAGATCTGACCAGTTTTGCCCCTCCTGAGACAACTGTTACGGCTGCTGCTGCTGTTTGGCAAAGGGGTCTGCTGGATCCCAACTTCTTTTGTATTTGACTTCTGCCCTCCCTGTAAGTAAAGAGCAATAAGGACACAGGGATTCATTTCTGGTGGGACTCAGCTGACTGACCTCCTTATACAAACACCACTGAGACACTTGCCTTTTCATTGTTTCATTTATTCAAAAAAATGTGCGTATTCCTGGTGCTAAGAATACAGCAGTGAATAAAACAGAAGCAGCCTTTGCATGTAGAAGCTTATGTTCCTAGTAGAGAAGATAAATAATAAAATGAGTAAATAAGGCAATTGCAGGTACTGACTGGTCAGTGTAAGAAGACAAAACAGAGGTTAGGGAAAGATGTGAAATAATGGCCCAATGAAGAAATTGTAAAGGGCTCTCAGGGCTTCATTGTCAAAGAAAATGCAGAGATTTAAAACATAAATTAGAAGGGCTGGGGATTTGGCTCGCAAGCACAAGGTCCCGAGTTCGATCCCCAGTACTAAAAAAAAAAAAAAAAAAAAAAAAAAAAAAAAATGGTAAACAAAACGTAACATAAAATAGATACAGTTAATCTCTTAGATTTTTCAAAGACAAAAGTGTTCAGGTGACTTTCTTGAGGTAACCTGAGCTAAAACCTAAGTAAAGAGAAGTTAGCATGCCAACCATGTAGACCATCAGCATTCTAGACAAAATGAGTGTGCAGATCCTGATACTGAACATTTGGGGCTGGTTTGAAGAATAGAAGACCTAAGAGGTGGGAGCTTGCTGTATCTGGGGGAGAAACAACTGAGATTGGAGCTTTGAGCAGGAGTATAACTCCTGTTTTGAGCAGGAGTTAACTGCATTATTTTGTTGTTAAGTGCAAAGGAAAGGTAATAAAGGAATTTGGAGATTTATTGATTGATTGATTGATTGATACAGGGATCGAACTCAGAACCTTGCGTTTGCAAGGCAGGTGTGGTGCCACTGAGCTAAATCCTTGGCCCTAGAGATTTTTTTAATTAACCTGTTTTATAGAAAATGCCTTGGAGGGCCGGGGATTTAGCTCAGTGGTTCTACCACCTGCCTCGAAAGCGCAAGGACCCAAGTTCAATCCCCGTACCAAAAAAAAAACCGAAACAAAACAAAAAGAAAATGCCAGGCATGGTGGTGCATGCTTGTTGTAATTCCAGCACTGAGAATGCTGAGGGCAGCCTGGGCTACACAGTAAGACCCTGTCTCAATCCCCCCCAAAAAGAAAATGATTTGGAGAAGTTGGGTGTGCAGGCTTATAATCCCAGCTGCACAGGAGTCTCAGGTAGGAGGATACAAAGGTTGAGATAAGACGGGGCAGACTAGCAAGACCCTATCTCAAAAGATAAAAAGGGTGGAGATGTAGCTCAATGGTAGGGTGCTTGCCTGGCACGCTAAAGGCCCTGGGTTCATTCCCCAGTACCATTAAGAAAGATAAAAGGAAGGAAGAGAGCAAAGGAGGGAAGGTAGAAGGGAAGGAAATGACTTGAAGAAAGACAGAAGTGGAACAAGGAGAAACCAGAGAATAAAAAGAAGTTATTGGCCAACGCTGTGGGATAAATGGTATCTACCCAGATTAGGGATAGTTTTATGGAAATAGAAGTTGGAAGATTTCAGGATGCTTCCCTGAGACGCAGAAAGGTAGCTTTCCTATGAAGAAAGGTAACAAACAAGGTAACTCTAGGTTGTTTTCTTAATTAACTAGCAGGGTGTGATCATATAGTATAAAGGTAAACACCATATAATATGATTGGAAAGACTCCAAAAGCCTCTGACCAGAATCCAAGCATCTCCCAACACTGGCCTGAGAAATCTCGAATCACTCAATCCTTGGGATCAAAGCTTAGTTAAATGCTAATGTTGACTTAATCATATTCCCAAAAACACATGTACAAATGTGTAAGGATTTGGGAGATAAGACTCCCTATTGAGGAAATAGATAACTAAGCCATTTCAAAACAATGGAATAAGTGTTACAATAAAAAGATGCTTTTAAAAAATGCCTACTTGCCAGGCATGGTGGTACGCATCTGTAATCCCAGCACTCTTTGAGGCTGAGGCAGGAATATTAGAAATTGGAGCCCAGTCCTGCCAATTTAATGACTTAGGAAGACCCTGTCTCAAAATAAAAAAATTAAAAAGGGATAGAGATGTACCTCAGTGTGAAGGCCTTTGGATCAATACCCAGTCCCAAAATAAAATAAAATAAGATAAAATAAAAATAGTCTGAGGATTTAGCTCAGTGGTAAAGTGCTTGGCATGTGTGATGCCCTGGGTTCAATCTCCAGAACCTACATAACAGGTTTATTGTATTAAATGAGTTGATACTTGCAAAGCATCGCATACATACTAGCAGAGTGTTATCATATAGTATAAAGGTAAACACCATATAATATGATTGGAAAGACTCCAAAACAAAAGCCTCTAACCAGAATGCAAGCATCTTCCAACACTGGCCTGAGAAATCTTGAATCACTCAATCCTTGGGGTCAAGGTGCCAAAGAAAGAAAAAACTACTCTAGAAAAATAAAATCTACTAAGAACAGTCCCCAAATGCAAAAATCCCAGTGAAAAATTCAATAGTTGTGTCGATATTCATAGTATGCAAGGATGGGCATATGAAAGTGCTCAATCAATATTAGTGATTATTGTTATTATGTATGTATATATTATTATTATGCATATAGGGAAGCAGATGGAACAATTATCACAGCTGAGTCCTGGAGGACAGGAAAAGGAGAATGGAAGAAGGCTAACCGACCCCAGTGTTCTGAACCAGTAGGAGTTGAGTTGTCAGGGAAGGGAGAAAGAACATTTCAAGCAAAGGAAAAATAAGGTGAAAGGTCACAAGGAGATGGAGCCAGAAACATCCAGGAGACATGAAGGTAGCTGGGTATTGGTAGTATTAGGGTACTTCTGGAAAAGGTGCAAGAGGCAAAACTAGCATTTGAACTTGAGTTTATAGGCTAATGTTTATGAAGAGGTTTCACTGCTTGATTGAAGCTGGTTCCAATAATGAGGACACTGTGTTCTTCCCCCTGGAGGATGCAGCAATATGGTACCGCCTTGGAAGCATAGAGCAGCCCTCACCAGACAACTGAACCATCTTGGACTTCTCAGCCTCCTGAACTATGAGAAATAAATTTCTGGTTTTTATAAATTTAAAAAGAAAAAGAAAGAAAGAGAGAGAGGAAGAAAAGAAAGAAAGAAAGAGAGAGAGAGAAAGAAAGAAAGAAAGAAAGAAAGAAAGAAAGAAAGAAAGAAAGAAAGAAAAGAAAGAAGAAAAAATGTTTATGAGACAATGTTTATGAGATATTCTGATTCTGACCCTCACAGACAGTGAGGAGCCAGTGAAGGGTGTTAAATAGGAGCGTTAGGAGACAGTGCTGGAGGGAGATACAACTGGAGGTAGATAAAGTAGAGGGGTAATATGGAAATATAAGCTTAGGTGAGAGATGATAAAGACCCAAACAAGTGGACAGAAAGAAGGGAGCATATGTGAGAGGTATTTAAAGGGACAACTGACAGAATTTAGATAGTAACTGGATGTGGGGGTGAAGAATGTATTCAGAATTTATGAATTAGCAGGCTGGATGGCTTCAGTTAAGGCTGACTGTGGCAAGAAAATGCATCCTGGAGAAGGATGAGTTAACATTTAAACTGCATTAGTCCACCTCCTACTGAGACCTAATGGAACTGAACAAGAAGCAATCGAGTTTTGTTTTATTTTTATAGTAAAATAACTTCCTTGTTTTTCTTCTTTTTTCCTTTTTTTTTTTTTTTGGTACCAGGGCTCAGGAACTTGTGCTTTCGAGGCAGATGGTGGAACCACTGAGCTAAATCCCCGGCCCACTTTCGTGTTTTTCTGATTATGTCAATAAGGCATATTTATTACAGAAAATAAAATCAAATATAGAAAAGTACAACAGGGCGGGGGATTTAGCTCAGTGGTTCTGTCACCTGCCTCGCAGGCACAGGGTCCTGAGTTCGATCCCCGGTACCAAAAAAAAAAAGTACAACCACAGAAACCATCTAATGTCTTATT